GCAACAGCCTTAGGAGATGCGGCCCTCATGATTAATCCTCAATGGAAGAAGACAGCTGCTGAGATACCCGAGTTGCCAGGATCCCAGCCCCACATTTGTACCCTCTATGCCTCCCCACTGCTGGATGACAATCCAGTTCCCCCCCTGCAGGCCCCCAGCCTACTATAGAGAGACTCTGCTTTGGCTGCCCTGCTAATAAACCTCTCCAAGTCGGTGCACTGTGGATATGTACCAAGATTCTGAGGAAATGCCACTCCTACCCCAGCCCTCTGGGTCACCCTTGGACCGCACACACTACAGATGTGGACAACCAGGCATCTCCAGGCTAGATGCCCAAGGAACTTCCACCCTCCCCAGACTCAAAACACTTGCCCTGATCCCAGTGTAGTGCTGGTGGCAGGAGGAGAGAGCCTTTCACCATCTCAAAGTGAATGGATGCCTCCAACAAACAACCAGCACCCTTCTAGGAGTCTACGGAGTCCAGCCATTTACCCCAAGCTACCCTGAGATAAGACAGCAGCAGTTACAGGAGCTGTGCATAGATGGACGAAAAGTCATTGGTTTCTGTGATACGGCACCTTACTGACCATCGTTGATCGCTGTCTGGTGAATCTGATTGGATGGATTTTTTATTGAACTAGTGGGGGAGGGTGCCATGAGACATCGCTCAAAGGCCTTTTTTCTTCTGGATTATGAACTTTGTTCTGCTGGGGTTATGGCAGGACTTCCTGCTGACATTCTCCTAGGGAACGACCTGAGAGAACATAATTGTCAGTTTCTAGGGAGTGTGATCCAGAGCCACTCTCTGGGAGTAGAGCAAAAATCTAAGACAGGCTTGATGCAAATTCATCAAGGATCTAACCCGTTAATTATGTAAAGGTTCAGGGCAATCCCACCAACGCCCCAAGGTTTAGAGGAGGATCTCTTGGTTTGCAAAACAGGTGGAGACATAAAGGAAGAGCACCCCATCCCAGATGTTGTAGATGGAGACAGCGGGGTCACAAACTAATTGTCCCAACAGTTGTAGAGAGATTTCTGACTCCACAGCTGCAGTTTGGTGGAGTGGTAATGTAAGTAGATCAAACTATCCTCCCAGCACTTCAAATGTGTCCCTAAGCCAAACCGCTTCCATACCCCAGTGTGATGTCCTGCTGGAATGAGTTTTAACAACCATGTGGCCCTCAGTTTAAAGGCTTAACTCCTTGTCTGACTGGATCCCTGCCCTGTGCTTGACTCAACCCACTTGTCTGCCCAGTTCCCTGTCCTGTGCTGGACTCAACCACTTGTCTGCCCTGGATTCCTGCCCTGTCTGCTGGAGTTGACCCTTGCTACATCTTGCCCTGGTGCCTGGACTCCCTGCCTTGTGTGCTGCAGTACCACCCCTGGGTGCTGTACTCTAGTCCTTCAGAGACTCACCCCTGCAATCAGGAAACACCTGCTGATTGGGCTGTATTTACATGGCCTGCTACGTTGTACTCTGGTCTGCCTGGATCCCTGCCCCTGTATGCTGGACTTACATTCCTGCTACTTGTACCTGGTCTGCCTGATCCTGCCTTCTGCTGACTTCTCCTGCTTGATCCCTGCTTGTGACCCTGACCATTCTCTGCCTGACCCTCTGCACCGCGCTGCCTGGATCCCTGCCTTGTGCTTGTGGACTTACACCCTCTACGCTGTACTCTTTGTCTGCCTGGATCCCTGCCTTGTGTGCTGGACTTATCGGTGCTGCTACGTTGTACTTGGTCTGCCTGGATCACTGCCTTTTGTGCTGGACTTATTATATGCTACGTCTGTACTCTGGTCTGCCTGGATCCCTGCCTTCTGTGCTGGACTTACACCCTGCTACCTTGTACATCCTCTGGTCTGCCTGGATCCCTGCCTTGTGTGCTGGACTTACACCTGCTATGTTGTACTCTGGTCTGCCTGGATCCCTGCCCGGTGGGCTGGGTACATCTCCTTGCCATACGGTCTGGTGGCCTGCTGTACTGGTTCTCCATTTTGCTTGGCCATCCTACTTGGACTATCTGTTTGGTATTACATTGTTACCAGGTAGACTATTTTTGGACAAGGGTGTGTGGCCCTATGCACCAATTAATACATATAAAATGTCACCTTTATTAGGATTTTTACATAAAACGTATATACTGAACTATATTTCATTCAAAACCTTATAAACTGGAATGCACTGCACTACAATCTCATAACTGAATTCATTACAATTATTAGCCAGTAGACCCATCCCTTGCATCCAAATGGGTGTCAGCACCAAGCCAAGTTAGATTACATACTATTTTTGGATGACACTGTTGTGGCTAAAACAATTGTGGTTTGATCATATACCTATCAGGAAGGATGCATATACTCTCCACTAAGAAATGAAGTTCCCCCAGGAAAGAACTCAATAGGTTATATGATGTATCTCACTACAGATATGTAATACGGGTACACCAGTGTTTCTCAACTCCAGTCCTCATGGACCCCCAACAGGTATGTTTTCAGGATTTATCTCAGATGAAACAGCTGTGGTAATTACTAAGGCAGTGAAACTGATCATATCACCTGTGCAAAATAATGGAAATCCTGAAAACATGATATGTCCATGAGGACTGGAGTTGAGAAACACTGGGGTACACTCATCCAGGGGCCTCAATACCAGCCTCTAATGGACAAGCCCCATACATCACCATATCCAGTCAAAAATACCTCAGTATCTTGAGGAATGCAAAGAATGAACTAACATGCGTAGTGCAAACCACTAAAAGGGGAGTAAGTACCATGTGCATTCAAAACGTTCTCCCAAACGACCCCCCCAAAAAAGGAAAGAATTCTACTTTTTGCTCCAACTACAGAGCTTTGTCAGGAGTATGGAGAATTAAAATCAGATCAGGTAGTGGTAAGAAACTGTACTCAATATCACAGCAAGAAATGGCACCTATTGTTTGTTTTTACCCCTATATATAGAAGTATTGGCCATCAAAATGGCTGCCATGTGCGTGACGTTGTGACATCACACAGTGTACATCTGTCATCACGCACACGCGTTGTCACGCTTCTAAACTTTCGTACATGCCCAGTTCATCATAGGTCACCATCTTGAGGATGAAAAACAACATTACAATAATCTGGGAGGCAATATATTCTGCTTTTCCACCACAAATGTCCCATGGACACAGCATTAATACCTCACTCTTTGAGAACCTTGTTTATAGTTCATAGTAATATATAGCATTTTATGGGGTCAATTCAAACAAAACACCAGAGTCCCTCATCAGTCCTAATAAAGGTTCCATTTTCTATGTATTATTGGCTGATTGGTGTGTAGGGACACGTACCCTCGCCCAGTATAGAGTTGCTGGTTGCCATATATGATGATTTATAATTAAGGCTTAGTAAAATAACTGAACCCGGTGGACTATTTTGTTGTGCCGTGTCCTGTCACCCGTACTGTGCCCCCACGTTCCCCAGTAATCCCCCGTATGTCGGGTTTTGTGTCCCCGCCCTCCGTGTGCTCTCTCTCTGCACTCCTAGTTTATCACATATATGAATGATTATTTGTTGTTGATCATTTATCATTCAGCTCTATATGGGGTTTCCCATTATGTGTGACTCAGGTCTGGTGTCTTAGATATATTTAGACTTTTCATTTATTTGCTGTTTTGCACAATTGAATGAATTGATTATTTGTTAAAGGGACAGCGCACCTAATCACGTAAAACATTTGCAGTGTTTGTGTATTTGAACCCTTCTTGGTGTGCAGCTTCTCATGTGATAGGATTCATATTTACCTTCTTCTTTATACACGAAGCGTGAGGTACAGACCTGTATTTGTGATGCCAAGGAAAGCAGATTCCTCCATAATCACATCAGAATAGGAGGATAGGGGCCCCTAGAGGTAGCAGTGATACCCTATAGGTGATCAGAGCCCCAAAAGGAGACATTGACCCCACCTCTCTGCCCTCTAGTAGGCATAAGGCCTGTGGCCCCATATAGTGGGACTGATGATAGAGTGATCCTGGTCAGCTGAGGGGGCCCTGTGCACTGGTTACCCCAGGTGATCACCCACCCAGCCTGTCAGTGCTCACCGCTGCCCCCATCAGGAAGGAGTATGCATGTGTTGCCCCCAGGTACCTCTTGTGGCCAGTCATTGTGTCTACCAGTAGGAGTCTTCCAGGCTGCAACCATGTACATCTGGGGTGTCTGTGAGGGAGAACACTGCCAGCTGCTTACAGCACTGAGACTCTCCATGAATACTCTGCATGCATTGCTGAGCCACCTGACATGGACACAGGCAGTGCCTCACTCCTGACGTCCACCCGCCACACTGCACATGCACAGACGAGGCTCAACACTTAGAGTGGGGGGGAGAGAAAGAACACTGACTCCTCCCAGTTGATGCCAAAAGTCCCCTGGGCCACCCTGAGCACCACTTCCACTATATAGACCTCCAGCAGTCCAGAAGGCACCGAACAATGCAAGAGTGTAGCTCCATCTAGTGTCCATAATGTAGTAATAGTACCACAGAGCCTCGTTATTGCCACTAGATGGAGCTGATGATCATAGGAAATCACTATATGAAATGAAATACGGCCAATATTCATCATGCCTAGGTAAATGTGTGTCATATTCATTCTACAAATTACAAAAATAGACCTCTAAGTGTTTGTGAAATCTCCCACCACAAAATGTACTCAGCCAATCACAGGGCAGGACTCCATTTTTATTCTTCTGCTGCTATCAATTGCCAACCCGGTCCCACACTTCATCCATGTCTTTGGGGACCTCTGATCTCCTTATGAACTGTTTCTTCCATGATGAAGATCAGCCATGGAGTATATCTGAGGTGTATATCAGGGTGTGCTTCTTCCCCACATGAGAGCTGGGATGTCCAGCAACATTCATCTAGAAGACATTTCCCGCACTCAAGGCACTAATACACCTCCAGGGTTGTGTGGGACCCCTGATGTACAGGAAGACAGGACTTCAGTGAGGAACATTTCTCTCACTCAGGACAGGAACGTGGCTTCTCCCTCATGTGCAATCTCTGATGTTTGGAAAGGCTGCATTTCACTGAAAACATTTCCCCACACACAGAACAGGAATATGGCTTCTCCCCAGTGTGAGATCTCTGATGTTTGTCAAGACTGGACTTCTCTGAAAAAACATTTCCCACACTCAGGACAGGAATATGTTTTTTCCCCGTGTGAGATCTCTGATGTGTGTAAAGATGAGACTTCTGTGAAAAACATTTCCCGCACTCAGGACAGCAATAAGGCTTCTCCCCCGTGTGAGACCTCTGATGATTGACAATATCTGTTTTTGTTGCAAAACATTTTCCACACTCAGGACAGGAAAGTGGCTTCTCTCCCGTGTGAGATCTCTGATGCCTGTACAAACTAGACAACTGTGAAAAACATTTCCCGCACTCAAGACAGGAAAGTGGCTTCTCCCCCATGTGTGATCTCTGATGTCTGTAAAAATTGGATGTCTGTGAAAAACATTTCCCGCACTCAGGACAGGAATATGGTTTTTTTCTCCCGTGTGAGATCTTTTATGCCTAGTTAGGTGGGATTTAAAATGGAAACGCTTCCCGCACTCAGTACAGGAAAAGATCTTCCTTGTTGGAAAGCAGACCCGGTCCCACACAGTCTGAGGTTCCTCAGGATACGAGGAATCCGATGGTCCATCTACACTGGGTGGTGCCGGATGGACATTGGAGGGAGCCGGGTTTTCTCCTGGACTATACTGTGTGATGTCCTCATCTTCTACTTTCCAGTCTGGAGACAAAGTGAGACAATCCTCGGAGGTTTTCCTCAAATTTTTAAAAACCCCAAAAAACCAAAATAAAAACACCACAAAAAGGTTTTCCCTTTTGGAATTTAAATTTCCCTTTTAAACCCTCTTTTATTTCCCTCTATAAACCCCTCCTCCCATAACTCCCCCCCACCAAGAAAAAAACTAAAAGGAATATTAAAAAACACTTTTCATTAAATCAAATTAACCACCACAAGAACCAAAAGGCTTATTTTTTTCCACTTCTTTCCTCTAATTAACCCTTTTCTTCCTCTCCTCCACCCCGGTTCCGGCTCCCCCCCCCCTTTTTTCCCCCCCTTTCCCTCCCCCTCCTTTTCCTCCCCTCCCCTTTTCCCCTTTTAAAAAACCCAAAAGCTAACGGTTTTCCCCTCCATCCTTCCCCCCCAAGCCCTTTTTTCCTTCTTCCCCCCCTTTTCCCCCCTCCCGGGGCCCCTCCCCTAAATTTCTTTAAAAAAATCCCCCGGGGTTTATCCCCTTCCCCCTTTTTTACTGGGTCCTTTCCTTTTTTCCCTCACTTTTTTTTTCATTTTTTTGTTTTTTTCCCCCTCTTTTTTTTTCTGTCCCCTCCCTTTAAAAGTTTTTTAAAAAAATTTTTTAAAAAATTTGGGGGGTTTTCCCTTAAATTTATTTTTTTTTTTTTTTTTTTTTTAAAAATTTTTTTTTTTTTTTTAAAAAAAAAAAAAAAAAAAAAAAAAAAAAAAAAAAAATTTTTTTTTAAAAAAAAAAAATTTTAAAATTTTTAAAATTTTTTTCTTAAAAAAAAAAAAAAAGGAAAAAAATAAAAATAAATAAAAAGAAAATAAAAAAAAAAAAATTTTAAAAAAAAAAAAAAAATAAAAAAAAAAATAAAATACAAAAAATTTTTTTAAAAAAAAAAAAATGTTTTTTTTTTTTTTTTTTCCTTTTCAAAAATTTTTTTTTCCCCTTTTTTTTTCTTTTTCCCTTCCTTTGTTTTTGTCCTTTCCCCCTTTTTCCCCCCCTTGTTCCATTTTTTTTTCTTCCCGGGGGCCCTTTTTCCTTCTCCTCCCCCCTAAAAATCCTCTCCCCTTTCCCGATTCCCTTTTTCCCTTCTAAAAATAACAAATTTTTTTTTTTTTTTTTCTATTTTCTAAATTTTTTTTTTCACCTTTTTCCCCCAATTTCCTAAATTCTTTATTTAAAAATTAAAAATTTTTAAAAAAACTGCAAAGTATAAATTGTTTTTTTAAAAAACCTTTTAACCAAGAATAAAAAATCTATTTTCTTTTTATCTTTTCATTTTAAACACCAAAACATTATACATTTGTAAACCCCAAGGGCCAAAAAATTACCTTTTTCTTGGAAAATTTTTTTCAATTTATCCCAGGGGGGGCAAATGTGAACTTCCCAAAAAAATCAGGAAAACCCACCTTCAAAACAAGGGTTTTTTTAATTGCCCAATAAAGGTTTTTAGGCCGAAAAAAAAAAAATTCCCCCCTTTTTTTTTTTTTCCCCTCTAAAAACACCCCCCCCCCACCGCCAATGAAAAACTACCTTTTTTTCTCAAAACCCCCCAACCCCCCAAATTTTTGGCTTGCTTTGAAAGCTTATTGCATCACAATTTTTTTTTAAGCAAAACTTTGCTTTTAGGAATGGCCCAACCTTTTCGAGACGCTGTGGTTGGGATGAAAGCCCCATCCTTGTTTAAAAAATTGTTTTTGGTAAAAGATGCCCCCCTTTGGGAGACAAAGTGAGAAATCCTCGGGGTTTTCCTATTCCGGCCAGGACTAAAATCAAAGACAAAGAGGATTACGAAGGAGCTGTTTGGTTCCCCAAAAACCGGGGACCCCACCCACATCAGGCGGCTTGGTTTTGAGGACTTACAATTCCACCCTCAAGGGAACTAGAAATGGCCCCTATCTCCTACCAGGTATTTTCTTTATTCAAAGACCTTGCAGAGAGGAGGAAACAACCAGAATTGTCTTTTATGGAGGGACAGTGTGAGGGGATTATAGGACGGGGGTCCCACCCCTCTATCACTCTCGCCCTTCCCAACACAAGAAGTACTTCACTTCCTTATTTAGTCCATGATTTTAGTCATGAAAACAGGGGACTGAGCCCCACCAGAGGTAGGAGTGAGGGGGGGGAAACAACCAAGGAAGACGGGACTGCCCTGAAGTCGGGATGTAATTTAAAAAACATAGGAAAATAGTGCAGGGTGGGAGTATGTAATGTACAAAAGGGTATATAGTGCGGGGGTCAGGGTATGTAATGTGCAATAAAAAATTATCCCGTGAAAGGGTCAGGAACATAATATTGGTATTTTTAAATCATGGAAGCTTAATTTTTTAGAGCAATTTCAAGTTTCCCAACCGCCCCTTCCCATCCCTTTAGACTGCACTCAGTGATTGGGTTGAGACACTACAGACAAATCCCTCCACCCCGGCCGCCAGAGATAAAAAAAGGTCCCGGGAAAATTGTTCTGTCTGGATCTTACTGACCCGGGGGGGGAAAGAAATCCAATACTCAAATGCAAGGCCCCGATCAAGCAATGTCTATGGTGATAATCTCATTATGCTGCCACTGAACCCCAAACTCCTAAATCCAGTCTGAGGAATTTTTGTGTCTGCGCACCAAGAAGGAAGATTTCCAGGAAACCCGGAATACGGAGGGGAACACAGCCAGGAAAGTGCCGGGGATTACAGGTGATTCACCCCAGTCCCCCGCCCTATTGGGGCCCAATCAGTGAGCAGGGGGGTGGAGGAATGATTTGTGTTCTGACCACTGTGTGATCTCTGTAGGATGTCCTCCTCTATAAATGCCCCCCGTTTTTCATCCTCCCCTTGCTGCGATCACCCCTCCATACCCTCTTCCTTCTGATTTAACCTCAATTTTAATTCCTCAATTTTCCCCCAAAAACAAGAAAATGAAAATTTCACCAAAAATATAAAAAAAACAGCCACAGAAAAATTCACATTTTTTTCTTAAAATTTTCATTTTTTAGAGTCCCTCCCCCAACCAAAAACAATAGGGAGGTGTACCTTCCCCTGTGTGTAATCCCGGGAATACAGAGGAGGGACATCTCTCTGGGGGGTTTCTGGTTTTAGGTGGCCCATCTTCCTTGGGTCCTTTAAAAAACCCCTCCATCTCCCTACTCCTCACCTCCTTTTTATACCTTCTTTACATCAAATTATCATCCCCGAGGTTTCCATTAATTATAAAAAAAATGACATCAATGGTAAAAATGCAAAAAAAATGTACGACCCAATGCTTCAGTGATTGTTCCTCATTCCCCTGACGAGGGTGAGGGAGGTGGCCCCTTCTGTGTGGAACCCCCGGGAATACAGAGGACGGGGCATCTCTTGGTGGGTTCCCTGACGGGATCCATTTAGGAAACACACACACTGACGAACCCATTGTTTCTATGTGTTTACAATGAGGGGGATCTAGGTGGTCCTCCGTAGCTCTCCCCCTTTACAATAAAGTCCCTCTTACCCGGTGATGTGAGGGGCGTGATTGCCCATCATGACGTCCTTTAGAGGTTTGTGTCTTCAAAATCTCCCACTCCCCCATGGAGAAATAGCAGGACCCCTAAAAACCCCTTATAGGAACCTGAACCACAATGAACAGTACCTCCAACACACCCTTGTCTGTTATGGAGAAGTCCCCGAATTCCCGGACCGCTCACCTCCCCTGTCACAGCTCCATCATCTTTTGGTGTTTTCTAGAATTTTGCATGTTGTGTTCTAGGGTTTAGGGAGTCACAGGGAGGACTGTGATGGTCAAGATCCCCTGACTTCAGAAGGAAATTCTGTATGGGGAAAACCAATAGGAATATCATGTTAGACTCCCAAATCCTCCTCACCTCTCTGGTCGGTTGGTTTTTTAATAGAAGGAATAGATCTGTGACCTCTCAGAACCTCCTCACCTCCCCGGTCAGGCTGTGTTTTTTTAAATAGAGAAGATAAAGTCATGTGACCTCCCAGAACCCTCCTCACCTCTCCTCAGGTCTGTGTTTTATTAATAAAGAGTGATGCATGTGACTAGGGGGAAAGATGGGGGGGGGGGGGGGGGGGGGGGGGAGGGGGGGGAGGGGGGTGGGGGGGAAAGTCATGTGACCCCCCGAATCCCCTCACCCTCTGGTCGGGTCTGTGTTTTTTTAATGAGTGAGAGTGATGTCATGGACCTCCCGAATCCCCCTCCCTCTCCCCGGTCAGCGGTAGGATTGATCTCCGGGGTGGGTTTAGTATTTTTCTCAGCCCATGTGACTTGGCCCTCCTGCATCCTCATTGGTGCCATCATGTGATTATACGGGTTTCCCTTGTAGAGGATAATTTTGGGAAATGAAAGAAAAGAATAATTTGGATGGTTTTGGTCAACAAATAGGTTTGTGTGGGGGAAAAGATGAGGGGGTGGTTGAGATTGGTGTTTCGGGGATATAGCGCGTCTGTCAGGTGTCACAGCGATTCTTTCGGTCGGGAGGGTGGTTATAGGGTGGTTGAGGGGGGGGGTCGGTTCGGAGGTGTTATGGTCTCTGACTGGTTTGATTATTTTAGACTGCAAAAGGGGAATAAAAATACATTTTTCCCTATGAATTTTTGTTGAGGCAGTGCTGTGAGGTCAATGTTGGGTCATCTGATGCCAGGAAGGGGAACTTGTTACTTTTGGATAAAAATTGCAGGA